GACCGAAAGTCCAAACGGAGAAGCTGTGAAGCACATGAGAGCAGATGAGCTAAAATTTGAAAACCCCAAGGGAACCAGTATTTATAGGAGACTACGTCGCACAAAAAACCAATGAGGACGCGACATGTGGCAAGGAGCGTGTCCCAGAACACGTGTCGCACGGAGGTCAACAGACGCATAATGATTACATTCGCATTGGATGTTGAACCTTTCCGCCGTAACCGCCACCTACGGTTACAGAAATTGCCTAGACCAGTTATTGTCACATCAGGAGCGTCACCGAAACTCGGATCGGAGGAAGCATGTATACTTCTTCATGTCTCGCGCCCGCTCGGAACATCAGAAGTGGAGAACTTGTGTTGGGTGTTAATGGGCCCGACTGTGGATAGGCCAATCACCCTTTAAACAGTTAGACCATCACGGCCCAATCTAGGTATGGTCCACCAAGGTACTCGAAGGAAGATCGTCGTATCCATTGACACGCTCGGCCTCACTGGCCTTGTCCAATAAGGGCCAGGTGGCACTCCAGAGCCTTCAGCCAGGCAACCTGCAAAAGCCACGCGGATCCCGACCCTTGCTAACAACATAGTCCAGGGACTAAGCTCATGGGACGCTCGCCCGATGCCCTTGGCGAGAAGCCAAGATATTGGCGGGAAGCGCATTTAATGCAGTTGATTTGGTGGTTGAGAAGCCAGACACTCACAATTCTCCACCTCACCAACACCACCTACCCTTTGGTAGTATAAATAGTAGTATTTACATCATTGTAAAGAGTTGACAACTTATTCTCCCTTGCAAATAGCAATTATCTTAGCTCGTAGCCTTGAGATACACGAACGGCCACCCGACTAAAAGTTGAAGTGTGTTGTATACTTGTATATGGACCCTTCTAATCATTCAATAAGGAGAAATTTGCTCCTAGTAGGACCAAATCATAGCTCTTTTACAAAAATAATACCTGCTAATGTTTTTCCCATTCATATTACTTATTTAGTTCTAGATTAGGAAACCTATTTCTAACTTTCCAAATTTGCCCTTCGGGCCAAAAAAAATCCGCCAACCTAGCTTCTTCCGCAGGAAGCCCATCCTCCATGTTGTCGTTGCCAGACACCGCCGCCGTTTCCGAACCTCGTCGCTGTCGTTGCCAGACGCCGGTGCCGGATTTTCCATACTCTGATTTTGGGTCCGATTTGGGGAACGATTGGGGACCGCCGCTGCAAGTGGGGTCCGATTTGGGGCCGCCGCTGCTGTTGGGGTCCGATTTGGGGCCGCCGCCGCCGCCACCGGTGGTGTTATGGCTGAGGTTTTGTGTGAACTGGCCGGAGAAGGACATGGGGGAAGAACAGGGGCGGGGAAGGGGAGCAGGGGAGGAGGGCTACGGACAGGGGAGTAGGGCTGGGGGCTGGATGTTGGGGGTGAGGGCGGGGTGGCTGGATGTTGGGGGTGAGGGCAGGTGGCTGGTGGTGCTGACTGGCGGTGACCACCGGGGATGGCTTTGTCACTGTGACGCTGGCGGCATGGATGGGAGGGTAAGGGGCAGTTTATTGTCTACTTATTGTCTATTTATTGTCTATTTAATGTTTGTTATTTTCAAAAAGTAAGGGTATTGTGGTCAATGTAGGTGTAGTTGAATCTTACGCTAATCTTCGGTCTTAGTTTTGGAAAATTTGTACATTTTGCTCCTACTTGTTGAAATCTCCCTTCAATAAGATACGACCCACTTACTACTCTTGTTATTGACCCATCTTACTTGCTTGCATCATACATTCATAAAACTCTCCACTCGAAACCCATTGGAAAGGTGTTGGGCCTTTGGGTTGAAGTAGAGGTGGATCGCTTCCGAGTAGACCATCCCGTGACCCGATCGGGCTGGTACTGTTTAGTACCGACCCGGACCGCCAACCGGGTCCGGGCCCGGTCCACTAGGCCCGAACCGGGGGGTTATAAAGGCGGGCTCCGGGTTTTCAAAAACAACAACCGGCCTGGCCGGGCCGAGCCCGGTCTGGGCCTATAATAGCTATTTAAAAAAAAGATTTTTTGAAATAATTAGAGCTGTTGGAGTCCAAACGGCTCTATAGCCGTTGGAGCCTCCTGGGGGCCAGGTAGGGGGGGCTTGGGGTGGGGAGTAAAAAAACTATAAATACTCCTAATTTCTAAATATTTTTCTACATCTATCCTACAATTCTTCCTACTCTCTAGTACTCTTTAATCATCTCCAATTCTCCATCTTCACCTTCTCCAATTCTCTCATTATCTCTACATCTATTAATATATATCATATTATTCATGTCAATTTACATTAGTTATACAATTATATCTACTTATATATTTAATCTACTTATAAATACATATATTATATCTACTTATATTTATTATCTACTTAATATCTACTTATAAATACATATATTATATTTATTTATATTTATTATCTACTTAACATATACTTATTATATTTACTTATATTTACATATTATATCTAATTAATATATTAAGTATATATATATATATATATATATATATATATATATATATATATATATATATATATTAAAGTATTAAATATTTTAGGATTGTTTAATATTTGTTACATTTTAAGATGGAACATGGTAGACATTCTGTAGATATGGGTAACCTCCAACGCAAATGTAAAGGACATATCGGGTCTTCTCTCAAAGCCGAGATGATTTTGACACAAATTATGACCAGAGAGATGCGATTTACGAGGAAACAACCAAAGAGGTACTAGCTAGGCCATCAGCAAACCCCCAACAAGGAAACACCCGACGACGACGGAAACGATAAGAAAGGTCATTTGGAAATGACAAGTAGAATGTCGTGGACAATTGCAACTTGCTACCATTGTAACGAGAAAATTTGCTTGGAAATTTCGCATGGATACGAAGGCGCGAATAGGCATTTGAAGGCAAACCACCCGAGGACTATGCAAAATTAAAAGCCAAAGGGATGCGAAGTATATTTTCCCCGCTTTTTAAAAATAGGCTATTAACTATGTTATCAATTGTACTTCATATTTCAATATATATGCATTGAATTTTTTTTACTTCTCGAATTAATTTTTAAACAATATCTATTATGGCCCGGTCCAACCCTAATCGCCCTCACCCGCCACTTTATGGAGGAAACTACCGAAGATGGCGAAGATTTCAATTGATTTTTATTTATTAGAAAATGTATTTCATGTTTTAAATTTTTCTCAATTCTCAATTGTACTTCATATTTCAAATAAATATACTTTAACTTTTTTATATCTAGCAATTCTTGAATTAATTTGTAAACAGCATATAAAAAACTAGTCCGGACCCGTCCCGACCCGATATCCGGCCGGGTAGACCGGCCCGGACCCGGTAGTTATCTGGGCCGGTTCTGGGACTAAACTCAAAAAAAAAACCCATCCCGGTCCATCCCTAGGTTGAAGGAATAAAACTCAACAAGAGTGTTACTTATTTTCTAAAAAAGGAATGAGAACATTTATATGGGACGATGAGAGTACTTATTATTATTATTATTTTAAAATGCATGTTATTTAAGTTATTATCATTGATTGTTAATATTTCCATTTTGAATTTATAATTCAAATAATATAGTCATTGAAGTCGAACGTGGAACATTTATTGTTTAAATCCCATTTATCTAACTCTAATAAATAAATTCATTACAATAGGGATATTTACCTAAATAGGAGTAAATAAAAGGATAATTGCAACAATAGGAGTTTAAAGTTTAAATTCCCAAAATAGGACTAATTCTTCCTATTCTACCCTTTCCTTTGTCCTTGATAATAGGATTTTTAAACAATCATTATAAAATATTAAAAACAAATCAAAATAAAAAATCGTAAAAAATAATTAAAAAATATATAGACCTCAACCACCACCTCAGCCACCTTCCAGCACCGCCACCTCCGGTCACCGGAAAAGATTGCCAAGTTGGGGAAAAATGTCATCGTGATGGCAATTTTGAAGAGAAAGCAAGAGAAAGCTGGATAGTTTCAAAAAGTAAAAATGTCATCTTTATGGCATTTTCAGAGAAATGTGGCATTTTTTACATAAGATTGCATTTTTTTCCGGCGACCAGAGTCGATGGTGCTGGGAGGTAGAGGGCGCGTTTGCAGTGACGTACATATTTTTTAAACATTTTCACGTTTTTATAAATATTTTTATTTTTTATTTATAAATAAAATTATGATTTTCTTATTATTAAAATAAATTTATTGGAAATTATAGGAAGGGGGTAGAATGTGAAGAAGAGATATATATTAGTCATATTTTGGGAATAAAAGGATTGTACTCCTAATGTTGAATTTTGGACTTATTTTACTCCTATTTAGGGCTAATACCCGATTACATTATTATGCATACGTGTTTACACATAACATTTCATAAAAAATTAAAAATACTGGGACCGGTCAGTTTGGAACCGCCCAAGCCTAGCACCAATCTCGGTTCACCCCACCCTATGACCAGATGGTCTGGGGCCGGAACCGGCCCAAAAGTGGACTGGATCCATGCCTAATCACACAGTGGCATGATCCTACCTTCATAAAATGCATGTTTTTTGAATGAGCACGTCAAAAATGAGTGGCTACAGTTGACAGGTTTGTCATTAGGGATGGATTGGGATTTGGGACCGGGCTAGGCCGGGATCCGGGCCAGGACTGGGCGGTACCGAGACCGGGCCAGGTTTGTACCGAGACCGGGCCAGGCTTAAACAGTATCGTGTCAGGACCAGGCCGGGTCGGGCCTAAAAATTGAGCCCGAAGCCCGCCCTTATAGCCACCGGGCTGGGCTCCGGGCCTAAAGAGGACCGGGCCGGGTCGGGACTAAACAATGCCGGGATCGGGTCGGGCCGAACCTTCCTAGTCCATCCCTAGTGCTCATCAATGGTTATTAGGATGAAAGTCACAACGGTGCACAAGGGAAGGGTAGCAGGTGATCATCCTCTGGATCCACATATCCGGAAGGAGAATATCTTGCCAGACTGCCAGTGTCTATTTGACGATGTCCCGTAAATTACTATCACAGAATATTCAACCTCGTTTAAGTGCAAACCATAATGCATTACAATCTCTGTCACAGAGAATAATGAACATCATTTTAAGTGCGAACCATATTCCATTACAATATCTACAGTGTTTAGAAATTAGAATCAACAAAAACCAAAAATCAAATTTAAAAAGCAGTCAATATTTTCAAGGCATCTATGTTTTTACTTCATAACCACTTTATGGCCACATTATGAAGATAAGTCTTCTAGTGTCCACCTGGATTACGATTCCACGATAGGTAAGATGGGTCACCAAGTTGCCTGCACAAACGGAATAATATATATCAACAGCTGTATTCAACTTCAGCCATAAATCCCACTATATTATATTTATAAAAAAACTCAATTCAATGAGGCCGATGCAAGGAATGTCAATGCACACATGGGGTGAAATGCAAGGAAAACTTCATGGAGTGATTTAGAACAAGCGGCATTTGGTACAGTGCACATTTCAATCACAAACACGAGTACTCAGGAAAATACTCTTTATTTATTTATTTTTGTGTGGAAAAAACAAATAGACTATAAGGGAATGGATCATATTCTTAGTGGTACTAAAAAGTGTTCCCCCAAGACAAGGTAAGAGTGGTTTCCAAAAGGCGGAGATGAAGAAGTGTTTCTTCTTGTCATATGATGGAATAATAAGCAGCACCTCATCATCTTTATCACGCTAAACATCGAACTTTGTATCCACAAGGTATTTAGTTTTTCAAAATGCAGCTATGGTTTGTGTCTTATTTATAGGGGCACCGGAAGGCCTATGGTCAAGCACAAGTAGAGCTCATTACAGCTATTATTAGACAGAAAAAGTTTAAAACTAATACTTGGAAGGTATGTTCAGGCAAGAAAAAGAGACCATACCTTGGCTTAACAAGATATATTAGTGTGAAAACCATAGCCAAAAAGAAGCATAGGCCACCGACTGTGAGGTATGCAATGCCTAGGAAATCATTTTTTCCACCCAGCCAGCTAGTCGTAGAAAGCACAAGCTTCTTCTTCCCATTGAAGCTATAAGTATTGTAATTATTCTTCAATACGATTTCAATCACATCATTTACATTAAGATCCACCTCTATCCTCCCATATAATTTCCTAAAGGTTGGAAGAGCAGCAGTTCGCATCCAAACAATTAGGTCCTCCTGGTCACTCAACTGTTTATTTGAATCAAGGAGCCAAGGCAATTGAATGAGCCTCAGAAAGAAATTTTCATTGCATTATGAAAAGAATTTGGACTATAATACTCCCCCATCCCTAAATAAACACCTCTGAAAAAGAATTCCAACATCTCAAAGAAACTCAGTTTTCATTGTGCGAGGAAGATATATGTTTTCTCCATAAATTTCAGATACGGAAACAAAAAAGAATTGCACACAGCATACTTGGACTATTAAATTATCTTTCTTTGGAAATAGAATAGCAAAGCAAAAACAAAAAGTGCCAGCTCTTACAGGCTTCTTCGTGTCAAGAGTCCCGCCCCCGATCAGAGAACCATTCTGAAAATTCTCTGGGAAAACATTTTTACCAAACTTATGGTCCCGGTCACTCTTCCATGATATCTCACTTTTGTTTACAGTCAGCTTCAGCTTGTTGCGGGAAAAGCTGTATGTATCATTAAACAAACTCCAGGCAATAAGGCCACAGGGAACTATAGGAGCCCCATTTGAAGAATCTTCAGGCTCACAAGTACTGATTCTATCCTTGCTGCCTTTATCCTTTAGTTGTTGATCACTTCGGCTTTTAACATACCTGAAAAAAGATTTGAACACATTGCAGAAAAATATATGATGGTAACATATAATACTCCATATAGTTGGCATTAGCAACTAAAGTTTTGCATAGGGGAATAAACAATATAACAACACAGCCAAACACCAACAGAAATGGAGCAACTTCTAAAACAATGTAGCAGCAACAAAATCAAGATAAGCAGTCTCAAGCACCTGCGATGATTTTGATAGAAATTGTCAAGTTGGTAATAAACATAAATAGGCTGCTTCATATGCTTCTTGACCTATACCATTCAAAAACCAAAGCAAATATTATGTTGTGCATTTTGTGTCTCAAAACTTCAACCTGGCCAGCAGTGAAATAAAGATGATCTGATCGAAAAAAACGTACTACCACATTTGAAACAAATAACATCACCATTCTAGAGAGACTTACCGTAATATTCCTAAGGCAGGTTTTATCTAAAGAACTTTGTATAAACTGCACTTCATTCCTTGAATAATTGCTTGGTATGCAGTCAGCTTCATAACGATCCACAATCTCTACAACCTGATGAAAGAACAAAGGAAACATATAGCTTACATGAATCAATCTTTGCCTTTAGTTTGTTTCTCATTCTATTAAAGTTTTTATTTTGTTTTTAAAGCGGCGTGTTTAAAGGTCAAAGGGGAGGGGGTGAGTAATACAGTAAAAAATCATGTAGCAAATTTCGAGCATACATCCCGAGAGGCAAACAGGGAAACAACTCCAATGGGAATGAAGACAACACTGACAAGCAGAAAAGCTGAGATAACCTGGATTGCACAATGAGTTCATAATTTTTCTTAGTAGACAGTTGTTAGCAGATCATTCACATGGGATGAATTAACAAAATGAAGCTTACCCATTTTGGCGTTAGTATAGGCTTGCAAGCAGGAAGTTCCTGTTGTGTAAACCTTGAATCTGAAACAGAACAAAAAACTATCATTGTAATCATATCATTCATATTTTCCATGTAATGCAATCATTACAAGTAGATTCTGGTCACTATGAAAAAAATGATTGTATAATCTGACAAACGGATGGATAGAAAAGTCAGAATTTACAAGGCAACAATCACTTGATTAATTAATTATCATACAAATAATATGTACTTCCAGCGGGTATCTTATTAATACAGTTTAGGTCCAGAGAGCTGTCGGATCTAGATATTTGTATCACCATACAACTAGTGCATATGGAGAGTAAAGCATTTTGAGTGTGGATTATACTTTACCAGTTAGACTAGTAAGAAGGAGCAGAATAGAAGGGACAATAAGAGAATCTCAGATCAGCAGGAGTATATTTTAACAGTACAAAAACAGTTGAATGGCTAATTTTAAGATATAGAGAAAAGGAAACTGCTAAGGTAACATCCTAAGCCACACAATTATGGAACCTAAATGTACCAAATTAACATGGGAAACTGAGATAGGTTGACTAACTCATTAACAAACAGGAAGGAGTTTACAATAATCATCATAATCTACACAAATAGTATCCCATATGTCATTTAAAAAAACAAATCTCTACAGTAATAAACAACTGACGATCGAAATATCATGGGCTGAGGGTCTAAGACTAAGGCGCTTATAATCGGAGCAGAAAGACACTATTTGCTATTGTTAATCAGAAAAGTGAAATGATAGAGATAAAATCCTGAACAGGGATGAATAAAGGTAGCGAGCTAACAAAGAAACAAATCCAAATTAGGAAAAGAATAAAAAATAAAAATGAGAGTTACTGGGAAGGGGGGCATTGGCATACACTTTGGTCGCTTGGAAGTTCTTCTGGCTGCAGGATTGTCGGAGGATCCGGGGGCGCCTGCGCTTGATGAAGGAGCGTTGGAGCTCATCACTGGAGTATATTCTTCTCAGAAAACAGAGCTACGTGGAATTCGGAATCCGGTCAAGTTGAGGAAGGATTAGAAGGACACAAGGGGGTGGGATTTGCTGCAAATCGTGGAGCTATTTACCCTATTCCTAAAGAGCGAGCGTCCGAAAATTAAAGCAGTAGACTTGTGGCTGACTCTTTCTTCTTCTTGTTCTTCTTCTGGCACCTCTAGTCTCTAGATCGACGATGAGAATCTGCAGTCTGTCAACAACTGCTCTCTCTCTCTCTCTCCCTCCGCGCCTGAAAAGGAAGAACCGTTGAATAATAAAATGAGGTGCGAGGAACCAACCGGTGGTCAAATTACGCAGCCCTAACACGGTTTGACCAACCTGCCACGGGACTAAAATAAGAACTTCCATTCGTCCCAAGTCCCCAACCCAATGTTTTAATCAAGTTTTTGAGATTTGGAGGCCGCTTGGCAAAACTCATTTTCGGCTTATCGGGCTTATCAGCCAACTTTTTTACCGAACACGTAAATTTTGCTTTCGCGCGCTGAATTGTGTGATAAGCCGAAAAAGTAAGGTTGGAGTTACTTTTCTGGTTGTATTGTCTGAAGTTACTGTAGATGACCATTTTAACTATTTTTACATATATATTTTTTTATTTTATTAATAAAATATATTTTTAAAATATTTTTTTCTTGTATCAGCAGAATCAGTCAATGCAGCCACTTCAGCCAAAATTTCATAAATTTCAGCAGAATCAGTCAGAACGACCGATTTTCGTGCTGCCAAACGTGCTCTTGATCACATTGAGCCGGCCTCTTTTTTACTTATCACACTTATGAGTCAACTTTTTCATCAAACACGTAAATTTTGATTTCGCGCGTTGAATTGTGTAATAATAAGAAAAAGTAAGGTTGAAGTTACTTTTCTGACTGTATTGACTGAAGTTACTATATAGCATCATTTTAGCTATTTTTCGTATCATTATTTCTTTATTTTATTAATTATAAATATTTTAATTTTTTTTTTCATAAATCAGCAGAATCAGCCAATTCAGCCACTTCAGTCAGAACTTCATAAATTTTAGCAGAATCAACCGAATCAGTCAATCTCAGTGTTGCCAAACGAGCTTTGTATGTTTTTATCTAATTTAAATATATTTGATCTTATCTAAATTCTCATTTAATCTGAATATTCTTGATCTAAGCACGTTCCGTCACACAATTAAGTTTACTGTTTAACTTTTTTAGTCAAATTTTATTAACTTTGACCTTTAACTATTCAAAAATCGTACTACCTCCGTCACATTAAAAGTTTCCCGTTCACTATTCATATGATCAACTTAAATCATTTTTAATCTTTTGCTTTATATATCAAATTTTTATCACATTTACATTTTTTATCAGGCTTTGTAGCGGTTTTAATGTAGTTTCTGAACATGTAAATTTTATTTACTAAAAATAATCAGCGTGTGAACATGGATTAAGTTGCTTTATCGTCAGTCAAGCATCGTAAACTGTTACGGGAACCTTCTAGTGGGACGGAGGGGTTATTTTTAACACCAAAATTATTTTGAGTACTTCACTTTGATATATATTATCGAAATGTTGGTTTAATATAATTTTTAAAAGAGTATATTTTTATATATTTATGGTCAAACGACAATGTTGGAGACAGTAAAAGTCTAACTATGAACTTAAATAAGGGATGAAGGTAATACTAGTGTGGCTATTATAGGTATACTCCAGCATCATTTCCAATTTGATTACAAGGGCTGATTTTATAAGGGAAGAAAATAAATTAGTTTTGATTTTACTATTTTGCCCATAGTTAGCTTTTTTGCGTTTAAAACGCGTTTAAAACACGTACCATTTTTTTGAACAAAAAAACGCGTTTAAAACGATAAAATAATGTCGGTCCGTTTAAAAAGGAAAAAACTTCCTCTTCCCGTATAAAACGTATATTTCCCGTATTTTACAAAAATTAAAAACATCATTTGATCACTTGAATGAATACATCAAATGAATAGGAGATCAACATAGTTTAAAAGCAAAAAAGAAAACTTCATTCCCGTGACTCCGTGTTTTTGTATTGTTACAATACAAAATATACAATTGTTAAATACTAAAATTAATTGCATGATGACTAAAGCTAGCATCCTAAAAGACTAAAATCTCGTATTAGATTTGTGATGTTCTTTTCCAAACAAGCATATCAAAATTAAGGTTTTTCTAAACTTGACATTTTTTAGTATAAACTTTTACACATAAACAATAATAAGTGTAGCAGTTGCACAACTTTCTCATGTCACCCGTCATCTAGATGAAAATGATGAGTTTAACTTGAGTGTATATGATGATCACATATATAAAGATGATGATGATGTTAACTTGGTCTAGGTCTGACCAAGTTTTTCTGATTTTTGACCATTTCCAGGTTTTTAACTAACTGAATCGGGTTTCGGTCCAGGTCGTCAGGTTCCGGGTCGACCCTGACCGTTTTTACTTGGACTTAATTCTGTCTGAGACCATACTAGAGCATATCAAATCATACTAGACCAAACTTCGACAACGATAGGATACATAGAAATCTGATATTTATCAGATCAGATTAATTAGGTCAAACCACATCATAAAATTTATATCCAAGTAAAACATCTTTAGTATCATTATTTATGTTTAGTCATACTCCATACGTTCCGAAAAGAAGTATTCAATTTGGCCTACGACATACGGAGTACATATCTATGTAAGATAAAAAAAATAGACATTCCGAACAAAGGAAAAAATAAACAAAAAGTAAGGACAATTGTGATTTTTACATAAACTTTTTTTATAGAAATGAGAATTAAAATGAGATGGGGAGTATTATGTTTAATAATGAAAAAATGATTATATTTTAGGGGCAAATTTCCCAATACATAATATATATTATATACAATCCGGCCTGTGTATGTCATCATTAGAATATGTGGTTGAGCAATATAATCTTAAAACAGGCTCCGCATTCCTCTCGATGACAAATACCAAAAACAAGAAAAATATTGAATAGTTGATGGATTTATGATCATAATAATGGAATATGCATGATATATAATTTTGAATAAATAAAAGTCGATCAAGAAATATCGCCATCGGCCGCGGCCACCGTGGTAAGCTAGAGAGCAGATTTCCGGTCAATGATACATACGGCTTTTGTGTACGTATATCTATCTATGATCGTAAACATATATTTATTTATTTATTTTATGTATGCATTTTATTTCTTTCCACGTACGAACATTACGACATTGAATATGCTCTAGATACCAACAAAAAATGGCTACATGATGGATGATGGATGATACAATCCCAGACCATTAATTATACACTTCCCAGTTTGACTTTTATGTTTGATCTTAAATATCAATAAATTCATACTTTAAAAATTTATAATAAATTAACATTTTAACAATACGTATTACAATGAAATATATGAAATCAACTTTGTGTGATATAAATTTGTTACTATATATAATTAATGGTAAAAGTTTATAAAGTATTCTCTCTGTTTCACAAAACTTAGTCAAAGTTGATTTTTACGTAGATTAACAAAGTAAAAATTGTGTGATTTGATGTATGCAGACGAGGTATGGTACGACCTAGCTATGTAGTACATGCTGCATGCAATGGGAAGGCAGGAGAGACCAGAGAGAGATGAATTGGTACTGACCCACTGACGGAACGTCCAGTCCTGTGAGTATGTACACCCATCTCCATGGTCTACTTAGAAAAGAACACATAAACACAAATCGGTTTGGGATGAATTTTGAGAACGGAAAACTGTTAATTTGGTCCTTATATTATCACGAAAATGTCAATTATGTCTTCATATTTTAAAAAAATTAATCAAATCCTCGAACTTTGAAAAAAAAACTCAATTGAGTCAATTATCAAGTTATCTGTCATGTCATCAAGTCACCAGCTGACTTGGCGCACGTGTGGTGGTCCACGTGTGCGTCACGCCATCAGCAAAGTCATTGTTAACTGGGTTGTCACATGTGTGCCACATCAGCAAGTGACTTGCTAACGTGATGGATAATCTGTTAATCGACTCAATTAAACGTTTTTAAAAAGCTCGAGTTGAGGTTGGTAGGTTTTTAAAAGTACAAGAACTTAAATAACATTTTTGTGATACCACAAGGACCATATTGATAGTTCTCTTTCAAGAATATAAAAGGGACAGTGATTATTTTATCTTTCTCTTTCAAAAAGTAAGAAAGAGTAATATGAATTCATAAAAAATAGAGTGAAATGACACGCAAGAGTAAAGTAAGAAAGTAAAGAATTAGTGAAATTCAATTTAAAAAAATGTTCACAATTTAAGATCTAAGAAGAAAAGTGTATCTTGCCAAAAATAGAGTGAAATGACACACAATATGAGTATTTTTTCCTAGCTGATCATATATGAGTCCGGCCGGCCGGCCGGCCGGCCAATGATTGCAGGTATGATGATGAGCAGTACAACACGCAGCAGCAACAACAACAATGCGGTCAAAAGTGGTGGGGATGAGCTGTTGCTAAAAGGGGGTACTAGCTACCATCATCCCCGTAATGAGAGCATAGCAGAGAGTGGCAGCAATAATGCCGCAACAGCAGCTGCGAGCTTGAAGCCCCATACTGGTGGTGACGGCCGATGGGACGCCATTAACTTAGTAGCAGCAACAACAGCAGCAAAGGCAGCAGGTGGCCTTGGGCTGAACAATTTCCGACTGCTGAAGCGACTGGGGTATGGAGACATTGGAAGTGTGTACCTGGTTGAGCTCCGGCGAACCAACACGTTCTTTGCAATGAAAGTAATGGACAAAGGGTCTCTGGCGAGCAGAAACAAGCTGATCCGAGCTCAAACGGAGAGGGAGATCTTGGGCCTGCTGGACCACCCCTTCCTACCCACCTTGTATTCCTACTTCGAGACCGAAAAGTTCTACTGCCTGGTGATGGAGTTCTGCAGCGGAGGCAACCTCCACACCCTCAGGCAAAAGCAGCCCAACAAGCATTTCAGCGAGGAGGCGTCCCGCTTCTACGCCTCCGAGGTGCTCCTCGCGCTCGAGTACCTCCACATGCTCGGCATCGTTTACCGGGACCTCAAGCCGGAAAACGTGCTAGTCCGAGATGAGGGCCACATCATGCTGTCAGATTTCGACCTCTCGCTTCGCTGCTCTGTCAACCCCACTCTCGTCAAGTCCTCATCCGTGCATAATCATGCTACCGCAAGCAGCAGCAGCGGGATCTCAGCAACAGATGATGAGAGCGCTGTTGCAGCTGCGCAGGCGGGGTGCATCCAACCATCATCCGCCTTCTTGTTCCCCCGCGGCATCCTCCCCACCAGCAAAAAGAACCGGAAGTCCAAATCAGACTTCGGGCTGCTCGTTGCTGGGTCGCTCCCCGAGCTGATGGCGGAGCCCACCAACGTGCGCTCCATGTCTTTCGTGGGCACCCACGAGTACTTGGCCCCTGAGATCATCCGCGGAGAGGGCCACGGCAGCGCCGTGGATTGGTGGACTTTCGGAATATTCTTGTACGAGCTCCTCCACGGGATGACCCCATTCAAGGGCTCTGGGAACCGTGCAACCCTCTTCAACGTGGTGGGGCAGCCTCTGAGGTTCCCGGATGCCCCGCAAGTGAGTACGGTGGCCCGGGATCTCATCCGGGGCTTGCTCGTCAAGGACCCCCACAAGCGGATCGCCTACAAGAGGGGAGCCACCGAAATCAAACAACACCCTTTTTTTGAGGGAGTGAATTGGGCACTGGTGAGATCTGCCCTTCCTCCCTATATCCCCGAACCTGTCGACTATTCCGTATTCGCCCACTCCTCACCTCCTTCGCCCCACCACAACCAGCAGACGATGCCTCCTGAAATCGGATTAGAAACCCACACCATTTCCACCCCTCCCAATTCCTCTCCCTCTCCCTACATTGAATTTGAGTACTTTTGATTTACTTCACATTCATGCATGTTTTTTATAGAGAAAAAATGGAGAGGGGGATGCCGCCGGTTATACGTACTTAACTAGTCATGTAAATGAATTTGTTCATACTCATCGATTTGCACATTATTGTTCCCATTTCATAAAACTCGTGGATATTTGTTTTCTTATTCGTTTATGCATGTATCCAACTTTACTTTTTATTCATATTCCATTCAACTCTTACTTCAAATACATTTGAGTTCAACATGAATATTGGAATTAATTCAAATAAACTAAAGTTTCACATTTTAATTAACAAAATTATTGTATATTTAATGTCGGGAAAGTTCCCGAAATAGGACTAAAACACTTTCAAAATTCCAAAATAGGGTTGTCAGGTTTTTTATTCCCAAAACAGGACTAATTACTGCCATGTTTAGAAAATACTGCCGTGTTTGAAGTCTGGTACTGCCAAAACATGACAGTCCTACATTGGAATTTTCAAACTGTTTTAGTCATATTTCGGGTAATATCTCATTTAATGTCACGCTGAATTTGCTGGTAACGTCGACAATCTAGTTAATCCCTCCCAATTATACAAAACTTGATCATAATCATCACATACCATCATCTCTTTCAAAACAAAATATCTTATATGGATTAAAATTTTAATACATATTTAAAAATAGCCACAAAGAACCTAGAACCCGAGCACCTGGCCTAAGCCCAATATCAAAATATTAAACCAACAGAAATCCATAAGCTTTTGCCTTTTAAATACAAGAATAGAAGACCAAGGTATAGACCACACCTCTATTATATTATACTTCGTATTATATATATCCTACGTACCTAGTATTATATATATATATATATATATATATATATATATATATATATATATATTATGGAGTATATTATACTACATACTACCTCCATTCTTAAATAAGTGCAACATGTGAAATTTTACAGTATTCACATGTTCTACTTTGACTACATTTTATTTATTGATGTATTAATATATATTTTTTGAAAAATGTATTATTAAATTTGTCTCTTGTAAATTTTCAAAAATTATTTTTTTAAAATTTTTACTAATGGAGAATTATATATATTAATGGTCAAAGTTGTGTCTCGGCAAGTGTGAAATGTTGACTGTTGCACATATTTAAGAACGGAGGAAGTATTATGTTTCATATGTTCTTTTTTAGTTGCAACATTCTCATTTTCAAACTTGTTAATGCACAACTTTGACCATCGTTATATTAAATTCTCTATTATTAAAAAACATTTAAGAATCATATTGTAAAAATTTATAATGAGATGAATTAAGCATTCGTCTTTTCTTAAAAAAATTATTCTTATAAATAATGTGAATACCGTAAAAAAAATTCATGTTGCAACTAAAAAGAAACGGAGGAGAGTATTATACTACGTATTATACTATAGTATCATATCATATCATACGAAGTACTCCGTATAATATTATAGTCAAATAATATTATACGTATGACAAACGAGTCGGTTCGTGTGCCTATGTTCTAAAATTTTAAGGCCTATTTGGTTCCAAAGCTTTTGAAGACCCACCCCACCTCATTAGAATTATCCAAAATTAAGACTCGGCCTAACCCGCTCTTAACTAGGCTTTAAATTTGTTATAAATGTTCAACATAAGCATATTATGTGCTCTATGGATCACTTTCATGTAATGTAGAGTTAATTGACGATTTTTAATACTCTCACTATCCCTTAACACTTTGTCATGTTTGACTGGCACAAAGAATACTAAAGTAAAAAATGTGTACTTGATATTTGTTCAAAGGAGAGTGAAATAATAGAAGGGAGTTAACAAATATTTGATTAAAAGATAAAACGACAGTTTTTCGGACCATTAAAAAGGAAAGATGATAACGTTATAAGTGACACTTATAAATATGACACTTATTTTGCTATCTAAGGTCATGTGATATTTTGGAATAAATATGTAACTTCAGGGGTGTATTGAATATGTATTGTGGTGCACTTTCTTTAATCAATGGACTTTTTAAAAACTCAATGGACTTTTAAATCCATATACTTTTTATGAATGAATTCTATTATATTGACTTTTGAATCCATGAATAAGTTTATAGACTTTCAAAAAGTCCATAGACTTTTAAATCCGAATGCCACTATCGGTCGTCAGAATTTTCACCTATATCGCAGCTACTGATATACCCGTCCACTTCTGTCACCGGAGCTCGTCATCAGACTGATCCGACATCAACAAAATGACTTTGGTTATGCAAGGGAACTAGGGGAAATTAATTATATTAATTAATTAAATTAGGGGTAAAATGTACTCCGTAATATTTAGTCCTATTTAAGATAAATGATACATATGATCATATTTTGGGGAAAATGTTATAGTTTAGTCCTATCGTGAGTAATTTCCACCGTATAATATGATAAGAAACAATTAAATTAATAAATGAAAAAAATGCAATTCATCTAACAATCTCGGTCTATAAGAATAAATGAAGCATAAGAATCCAAATTTATTGTTATTAAAAAAACTCAAAGTTTTGAGATTCCTTAACAATCTCGGTCTATTTATGATCAATTGTTATATTGCACAATTCAACGAGTAAGGACATAAATCGCTAGTTTTCAAAAAAATGACATTAATCGATACACAAACGTTACACTCATTGCTACATGTGCATGAATCGGTGCAATCGAGTTTTTCATCTTAATGATTGTTTTCTTTTCCTTTTTAGCTTGTTAACTTTTGTATACTTATTTACGGTTATATATTTATTAATTCGAAATTATATTTTTATGTGTCAATTGTTTAACGATGAAACACAGTATTTGTTAAAATATTTTTTTTCTTAATGGTTAACTAACACATACCACAATTGCACCGGTGTAATACTATCGATTCTTATATCGGTTCTTCAAATGGTTCCTAACTTTCTTTCAAGAATTGAATCGATCTCACTCCTACATTCTTCTTCGTAAGACGACATATAAAATATTTTTTTATGTTTATCTTGTGTATCAGTATTAATGTAGATTCTCCTTGTTTAACTTTATTTATCGTAAAATGATAAAAACAAATGTTCAAATGTTGCATATTGAGACCATCCTGGTACCCACCTCCCGGCCTGGCCAGTACTAGCCCTAGACTTCTTGGGCGGTTTGTGATCTCGGGTAAGTAATTAGCCAAATCTGCAACCAAATCTATGCTTACTTGTGACGAGTAGAAGACAACATAAAAGTTCACGGAAATCTTTGGTGAGGAGAAGAGACAATTGCAGAGAATTATGTATTAAAAATGAGTTAAAAGTTCACGAGAATTCATGATTTTAAAAGTCAACATTAAATACACCTAGACTTTTAAAAGTTCACATTGAATACACCTAAACTTTTAAAGTCCATTGACGTTTAAAATTTTGCCACTAATTCTTAATACAACACACCCCCTTCATTTTCCACATGGTTGTCTTTTAGCATGTTAATTAGGTTAAACAAAATAGGACTCCACCTCCCACGAGGGACCCATATTTATAAGGCACTAGTAGTAGCATTTTTAGGAAAATTTTCTATATGTAATTTTGTTAATTGCATTATTTAATGAGTATTTAATTGATTTGAGTATAAGAATTTAGATCGGACAAGGGTCTCAAATTTGTATCTTGAATAGGGGCCTCCAAATTCATTAGACGGTCCTGATAGAAAGATGAGTCACTTTCTTTGCAAAAATGAGTTAGATAGCCTTGACTAAGAGTCCAAAACTTTTGAAAGCTCCAGCAAGAATTTCCCACAAGACTAGAAAGTTATTTAACCCATACGCTAAATTCTGGATTCTTAGTGAATAACCCCAATGTGGCTAGTAGCCGTCGACCGACCTCATATATTTCTCCGAGAATGAGATTGTCCCCTATCTTTCAAAAATGTATGTTTCAGCGTGGATTTTACAGCCTCTGATCTCTTTATGTCATTGTTTAATTTGTCATTGAGCCACATTGGGGTTATTCCTTGAATATTACGAAATTAAAGTTGATTTTCAAAAATGTGACCATTTTTACATTTGGATAAAAATGTGACTAAAATAAAGTGACAACCAAATACTCATGTCACTGACTCACTGTTGCCGTCATCATTGTGTCACTTCCACCGCCATTGCTCATGTCACTACTGCCACCGGTCACAGACGTCGATCACAATGACATTGTCATAGTGTCACCACCACAGTGACTCCGACCAAAATGGCAAATTCACGCCCCACATTTACCTCAGTGACCAGCCCGCCAATCACCCTGTTGCCCCGCCAGTGACCACCGGCACTCCAGCAGTAACCACCGCCCCGCTGCGACCTGCGACAAGTCAGGTTGCCCTATCCACCCCTACCCCCACCTATCCTGCCCTCTGCCTACCGGTCCCATCGCACTAGATCTGCTTACATGTGCCACTAGTGACCAGCCCACAGTAACTCAGCCCCAGCACCACCAACCACGGCAACCACCCCCTGCTACACCAACACATGGTAACCCGCCCCCAGGCCGCAAGCCCACTAGCCACGGCAATCCACTCCCTGCCCCACCAACCAACAGCAACCCGCCACATACCGTTCACCGCCACCATTAGCATTGTCGAAACCTATCCCCTACCCCAAATCTTGCCAGAAACCCTTCCCCAGCCCCTCACCCGCAGATGTCGCCACCATGTGTACAACCACTGAAGCCCTAACCGACATGAATAGTTCGAATCTGTTGTAGCCACCAAATTCTAGATCTGCTCAAAGGGCAACGACGATCAGTTGTAGCCACGAAAGCCGTGGTTGTCTCTAAAATCCGACGAAGCACGTTGACGACCCTATCCATGTTCGGGCCCCATCGAACTGCAATTTCACACCGTGAATTGCACATTGTTCACCATCAACGGCCCTCAATGGTTCTGTCATCGATGAATCTGAGGGCCAAGGTGCTATATTCTTAATCGAGGGAGTTAGATTGCAACAGAGGTGATGGTTGCAATGGTGGCAGAGCCTTGCGGCTTGCGCTGTACTGGTTCAACGAGAATGGAACTCATGGAAGAGAGAAGGTTGCACAATACTGGTTCAACAAGGAGGACGAAAGAGATGTCAATGTGAGGGGACTGTTAGACATTGGGGAATAATTGAGTGGGTCACTTTTCAGTCTATTTTAAAAGTTGTCATATTTTTGTCTAATAAAACATGAGAGTTACTATTTGTGTCATTCTTTCTTTGATTTTTTCATTTGTGTTGTGAAGGTTCTAAATACTTGAAAATGATAAAAATTTAATGAATCGAATTCCTAATTGCTTTGTTGAACACGAGGATAGTAATTCTATGCGGCTTAAACTTGTTCTTGCCTCATGGAGTCGCATTTTAAATGCGGTTTGTTTTTGATAGATTATAAGTCTACAGAGAAGTGAGAGCTAGAGAGAGAAGTGCAATAATTCTTTGCAATAAATGATTTGTCAACCCCTACAAATACTCTCAAGGGGGTATTTATAGAGAAAATTAGGGCTGAGCTCCAAAGTCTTTGGCTTGGGAGGTCCATTTATAATAGGGTCACTAATGGGCCGGATACAAAGTGTATAGAAATGATTAAGTATAAAATCCTATTCTGGTGGCTATCTATGGCCGACGAAGACCCGGCCGACAAGGTCACCCGGTTCTCCTGGCTTCTGGATCAAATTCTGAGTAGACTTCTTTCTGGGCGATGGAGGTCATCTGGCCGACGAGGGTCCCACCAGGTGATCGTGGTACCTTCTGTTCTCCTTAGCATGTGGGCCCTGGGGTCCAGGCCCATATACTCCATCAGGAGTCCCCTACTCTCTAATCTGAGACGTTGACGAAGTGAAGGAGAGTAGATTTCTGTCCTTTTTGTTTGGCCGTTGTGTGCTCCTCGATGTGGACGGAGAGGGCCCTAGTTATGCGGATGATGTGTGTTTTTTCTGTTTAAGGATGACGAGTGCCTTTGCTTGGTGGAGACTGATGACCGCTTTTGCGGCGTTGTAGTAAAACGGAGTCTAATCTTTCGATTTTCCCCGAGTATCGTGCCTCTTGAGGAATGGCGGAGGAGTTTCTTGATTTTAAGTCCAGTCACAGGTTATCGCAAATTATTGGAAGCTTTCCAAATTAAAACTTTTGATTGATTTTCTAAACTAGTTTTTGAAAAAGAAAGTAAATTAAATTATGCAAATAATAATGATGGCTCAAAAATATACTAAATGAAAAATAAAATATTAAACTCTGAATGGATTAATCAAAGAAGGGCAATGAATTGAATTATAAAATATGGGTACATCCTTTTATCTTGGACCTAATAATTAGGAGTATTTATAACTAAAGATTGGACTAGTAATTTCTTTTCTCATTGACAAGATTTAAGTTACCTTCACTAATGTATCCTATTTCTAGGCTTCATTAATGTGTTTAAAATGGTTGACCTAAATTATATTCTAATCTCATGGACAAGATAGATATAACTTTCCGTATTTTAGCTAACAAAATGGTCAACATCTTTAATTAATTAAATTTTCTCATATTAAACAATTGAATTTCTTCCTCATAGACAAAGATTAAATTCTATCCATTAATTTATCCTATCTCTAGGCTTCATTAATGTGCTCAATATGTTTGGCTTAAACTATTTATAATCTCATAGACAAGTTATAAATAATCTTCCAAAGTTTAATTAATGAAATGACCAATTCTATTAAGTAATCAAATTAATCATTTTAAACAATTAGTCCATAAAATTAGTTAAACTCCTAATTTTCAATCAAACAAGATCAACCCATATTCTTTAATTCAACTCATGAGAGTAAATTAACTACAACAACTCATTACTAGTTTTAACACTTTACATATAAAATAAGACATTATCATAAATAATAACAACAAAATAAAATATTAAAGTGAATACTCTCACCATCTAAACTTTCTTTTCTTTCACAAATAATCACCATTTATACTAGGTATTGAGGTTATCTAAGTAGGAGATTAATATAACAACAAGAACTACTTTTCTTGAATAAAAATGGAAAACACGAAATTCTTAAAATTAATTAAGAGAATTTTTAACTAACATTTGAAAGATATCTACACGATGAGAAGATGAATTTTCATATAAAGAACTTACAAATTGGAGTTAAAATGAGAAAGATATGAAAGATTAAAGTTGAAGGTCCAACAATGGTGGAAATCCGAGCTTTGATGAGGAAGAAGACACCCTTTTTGATCTGAGTTGGGTGTGAGATGGTGTGTTTTGAGTTGGGGATGGAAGAGAGCTTTTATAGCTGGATTTTTGTGGAAGGCGGCCAGAAGGGCGGTCGCCCTCCGGCCATGGTCGGCAGCCTTCCATCAAATCACCGACAAAGCTGCGTGCACGCGACAAATCCGCCGCAGGCGCCCGTGGAGGGCAGCCGCCTATTTGACCGCCTCCCGTCTTGTCTCAGCGACCGGCAGCTCAAAAGTCACATCGCGCCGCAGGCGGCCACGGAGGGCGGCCGCCTACCGGCCCTTGTCGACAGCCTTCCATTATTTTGTCGCCATGCAAAGCCCTGTGTGCTGAAACTGTCAAAAACTCGTAGGCGCCCAGAAAGGCGGCCGACTTATCGACCGCCTCACGTCAAATGGAAACGTTGTCTTCACCAAAGTTGTATATCTCTTTCTTGGCTAACTACTGGTTTTTGAATTACATTCATTGGATTTGTAGTTAATGAGATATGACCAAAACGGTGAGCATGTGTCACTTTCCATCCCAATTGCAAATGTCTGACTTCTTTGAGCAATATGTCCATTCTACGATTGTTATTTGGTTCTGTGTTCTTCATAAGAGTTATAGAGAAAGAAGATGTCAATGTAATGCAACTCGTATCACGAACTTTGACCAATCATGCGCAAAGTTATGATCAAAATACGAACATGTGTCTCTATGCATCGTCCATTTTTCATCAAAAGTGGTCATATAGGCAACTTCTTCTTGGTTTTGAACTTCCTTGCATGATTTTTTCATCTCGTGGACTCTTCTTTTTGAACAATTGGTCAACATATCTTTCAAACTTCCGTACCAATTCATTTGTTGGGAAAAAATGCCACTTTCTTCACGTAATTGACCCGAAATTTCGCCAAACATATTATGAATGCGGTTTTCACCTGATTTCATGAAACTTGAACCAAAATATCTAAAACATGTCTTGTTTTTCTATTTTCTATCTAAAAATCGCTCAAATATGATGAGAAAAATAAGTACAAAAATGGACTTATCATAGACGATGAGCGTCCTCTGTCATGAGTGGCCGATGAAGACGGTGCTTCCTTGTTCTGGACCATTGATGGTTGAATTCCGTGCTTTGGGCCGAGGAGGCCCTTGTGGTTATCTCTTGTTTGAGGACGATGGGTGTCCTTTTGTTTCCGGGTGGCCGGTGAGGGTGCTGTTTGCTTTCTTTGGCCGTCGTAGCTCTCTTTCTGTGCTTTTGGCCGAGGAGTGGTGGTATCCGTAGCTTGGTGTCCATGTTTTTGAGGACGATAGCGGCACTGATCCGGAAGGAGTAGCGTATATCCTGGTCTCGTGGACGACGGTGATCTAAGGACGTTGAGTTCCTTTTTTAATTCCTGGCCGAGAGTGGAGTATGTGGTCTCAAAGCCGTTGAGTGCCCTGTGATCTCAGGTGTTGCATCTTTGGGGGGAATTCTTTGTTTGCTGACTTTGCTGCGGCCGACGGTGCACCACAAGGTTATGGACGTTGTGGTGCATATATGATCTGATGTTGTAGTTGTGGACTTAGCATATTTTTGGATTTCTTTGATTTTGTTCTCTTGATTTCCAGAGGCCGGTGTAGTCCCCCAGTCCCCCACTGCTTTAGGCCGAAGAGTGATCGAGGGGTGAAGGAGTAAAGAATAACCCTAGGCCGATACAGGATTCTTGTATTCCCCTGAATCCAATTCCTTGGGGATTTCCTGACCAAGGTAACCCTGTGGGAGAACCCTTGGACGCAGGTCGATTGCAAGAAGTTATCATCGGGGTTTTATACAAGGCCGATGGATGTGGGTTGCTTTTTGCTTTGCTGTCGTGGTCGTTGAAAGGGGCATGGTGTTGGTATTCTGCTTAGGCCGATATGGGCACACCTTGTGGTGTGACCTACCCTTTTGAAGTCATTTTTGCGTTGAGGCCGATGTAGGCGTGCTCTCTTAGTGTGGCCGTTGAGTGGTTGGCCGTTATGGACGCTGATTACTATCACGTTGGTGATGGGTTGGTACTGATGGAAGTGGGCCTGACCTGTCTTTTGGATCGGTGCCAGCCCAATGGCCACTAGGGTTGGTGGCCGTTCACATGGCTAACGGGTGTGTGCCACGTGTAGTGACCATTGGGGGGAGGTCTATAAATACCCCCTCCCTCCGAAGAGGCTCCCCATTACATTCTTGAGATAACGAAGTGCTGCCAAATTTTCTAGAGCGAGAGCCTTGTTCGTGTGTTCTTCCGTTCTTCAAAACTTCAAAGGTGAGTTCATTGAACTTTTCTCCACTTCCTTGCATACTTTGCTTCTTTTAGACTTTGATCCGGTGTTAGTGGAGAATCACCCTTAGATCCAAAGTAATCCACTCTAGGCTTTAGCTAGTTGTTATGATGAAACCCTTGGACGATAAGTACTACCCATATGACGATGAGGCCTCCGTGAAGTCCCTTGACTACCAGGTAGTTGAGGAGTGTTGCGAAGAGATCGAGGACCTGAGCTACTTCAAGTCAGGGGAGCCGGAGGTCAGTGAGGGTGAAGACGAAGAGGCCGCCTCATCATCCAAAGGGGAGGACGAAGTGGTCTCCCGTGCCGTGGGCGGAGCATCCACTTCTGCTGCAATTCCCTGTCCGAAGCCGGTCTCTGTCGTGAAGGGGACCGCTCCGACGAGAAGGCGTCGGCCGAAGAAGGGTCCAGGTTACTCCTACCTGGACCTCACGAACATTTATTTGATCAACCGGAGAGCAGCGCGGCTGATTACCTGGTGGTCCAGATGTATGTGGGGCCATATGGAAGGGTTAGGCCCCCCAAGCCGACAGACCACATGCTGAATCGACCTACGGGGTACTTTGGAGTATACCCCATGAGCTTTGCCAATGGGCTTAGATTTCCCCTTCATCCGTTCATCACGGAGTACTTGGACATGGTGGGTCTCCCTCCGGCCTTGTTGACTCCAAACAGCTATTCACTCATCATCGGCTTCCTCCTTCGCTGTGATGAATTGGACTTTAGGACGACGACGGCCCTTTTTATGAATTCATACCAGATCTGCCGAGGGAGCCACAAGAATTGTGCCAGTTACGCCACCCTCCAACAGATAAACAATAGGAGGTCCTTCACTGATCTTCCTTCTTCCATCCATGGCTGGAAGAGTAAGTTTGTCTTTGTGTCTTTGGGCGAGGGTGGCACCGAGTTTCCCTCCGTCGGCCATGACGGTAGATTCAACCTCCATGATGTGCCGAAGAGCAGCATCTTAGATGCCCATGTGACGGCTTTCTTGAAAGGAGGGTCGAGGAGTGTGAAAATGTATATAACAGAGTATAAGATGACCTCCCTTGGCTTCATGAGGTACTTTGTGTACGGTGACAAGGAGAGTGACACCAAAATATGGTCGAGGATGACCACCACTTTTGAGGAGGCCGATGGCCTGGATTTGGGCATGCCCGCCGAAGCTGATGGTAATACCCTCCTTGGCGTCTTCGTCTACATTTGTTTTTCTTTTTGCCAACTGTCCTCTTTTGTTATGCAGATTTTGTAATGGACCGCAGATCCGTTATGGCCCTTGCTAAGGTGAAGGCGAAGGAGGAGATGGCCGCCAAGGAGGCCGCGAAGCTGGCCGCTGCGAGTGGCGCGCAACCGAGCTCGGATGCGGTGAAGAAGCCGCCCACCCAGCCGAAGAAAAGGTGCACATGGATGATGGTCAGAAGAAATTGACCGAGGCTGGCATGCAGCCTTCGAAGAAGTCGAAGAGGGTTTCTCCTTCGGCTGAGGCTGATGTCGGGGTTGCAACTGTGCCGGGTGAAGATGTTGGGGGCTCTAATTCCATTGCTGTTATCGACATGGTTTCTGCCCCCTCGTCGACTGCTATGTCCCAGCCGCCCCTATCGGCCAGGACTCTCGAAAGAAGAGGGCCGAAAAGGAGTTGGCCGTTGGGACCTACAAGCTTAAGGTCAAGTACCCTGTCAAGGGTGGCGTTTTTAACGACGCTGTCGACGACCATGACGTGCTTGCCGAAACTGTCCCGGTCGAGGACCGGGCTTATCTGAAGAAGCTGGGCCCCGTCAGGATTTATGACGGCGGGATGGACCTTGTCGTCCAAGTAAGTTCCTTGTACTTTACTCTTTTTACATTTCTTGATGTCATAAGTGTCTGCATCGTCCTAACCTTTTCATTCATTGCAGGGGGCCCTTATGCTGATGGAGAGCCATAAGAGGCAGAAACAAGAGATTGCTCGGTTGAAAGAGGCTGAGCAAAAAGCTGCTTCGGCCGAGGAGGCCATGGCCTGCCTTGATCAGCTGCGGGACGAAGTGGGAGCCATGAAGAAGAGGGTCGATGAGGCCGATGCGGCCTACCGTCAAGTGGCGGCCGATAGGGACGACGCCCTGAGGGTGAAAGATGAAGCTCTAAGGGGTCGCGACGAAGCCCTGCTCCGGGCCGAGGATGCCGCGAAGGCCCAAGCTGAAGCCGAGAAGGCTGCTGAGAAGGCTGATGATGCCGCAGTTGAGAAATTTCTGGCCGAAGGCTGGAAGGCAGAAGACCGTCGCCCCTGGTGCTACGAGGTTGTGGCGGACCGGTTAGAGGACTGGGGCCAAAACTGCCCTGCCGGCCAAGACTACTTTCAAATGGAGATGTCTGTCTACTACGACATGGGCCAGGAGCGGATGCAGCGGCTAATCTACCGGAGGCTGCACCGCACTTTCAAAACGCTGAAGCTTACCCAGAGATGGGCCAAGAAGAATCTGAAGCTTCCCAAGATAATGAAGGACCCTAAGGCCGAAATGAAGCTCCCCCCTTCTGAGAGGTAGGCCCCGATACTCAGCTTCTCCATTGGTGAGCTAGATTGGTCCGACGACGACGCCTTAGCCGACACCGCTGTCTCCGCAGTAGCCGAGGCCAGTGCAGATGTGGGGACGGAGGAGGGCACCGAAGCTGCCGTTGAGCAAGCCGATGTGGCCAGGTTGCTGATGAGGTCGCCCCGGAGAACTGATCGGCCAACCCTCTTTTCCTTTTTTAGCTTAGGAAGGTGCTGCGGCGCCCTTATTTTGTAATGGCCGTTGTGCCCTCATGTACCTTTCCTTTGATGAATGAAAATATGTTTCTTTTTCGGCTTTATTGTTTACGATGTCCTCCTCGTCTTGCCTTTCCTTTTTCTTTTGTAATTCTTTGAAATTTTTCCAAGTGTTTAAGTTGGGACATGGATAATCATTATCTTTGGTTGTTTCCTCTGGTTATGGTCGAAGCAGGTAACTTAGGTGAGCATGCTTCGTCTATAATGAACACCCCTTACTGTTAACAGCACTTTAGAATTTCTTCTAAGTGTCAGACTTTAAGCGATTGAGTGGCTGCTTCATCTTGTTTCATTCCCCACCCCTTTTTATTTCACTTGCAATTTTTCTAAGTGTTAAACAATAACTTATGAACATACTTCCTGTAGTTGTGGCCGATGAAGGGTTCTGCCCTTTGCTCGGCTGAGGGGGGAATGTCTTCTTCGTCCTTGTAATGCTTGGTGTCCCACTTTTGTGGAAATCTTTAAGTGTTTACCTTAGAGTATGTGTCCGTTTCATTC